TTTTATGAAGTAAGCATAATGCTGATATCAAAACCAGGTAAAGATTCCACTAAAAAAAGAAAATTATAGAACAATATTCATTATAAATATAGATGAAAAAAATCTCAACAAAATCCTAGACAATAGAATCCAATGGCATATATATATAACATCTTGTCCAAGTGGGATTCATACCAGGTATGCAAGGATGGTTCAATATTAGAAAAACAGCCTACATAATCCATCACATAAATATAAAAAAGAGTCACATGATCGTATCAATTGATGTGCAAAAGACATTTGAAAAAAATCCAATACCCATTCCTGATAAACACTCAGCAAAATAAGATGGATATTCCTCAACATAATTAAGTGCATCTATACAAAACCAACAACCAACATTTCTCTCAATGGAGAGACACTGAAAGCATTCCCTTTGTGAACAAGAACCAGACAAGGATGCCCTTTATTACCACTCCTATTGTGCTGAAAGTCTTAGCCAGAGATATGAGGCAAGAAAGAGAAATTAAAGGCATTCAAATTGGCAAAGAAGAAATAAAATTCTATTTGCAGATGATATGATCCTATACATAGAAAATCCCAAAGTCTCAGTGATAAAATTATTGGAACTCATTGAAAGATTCGGCAAAGTGGTAGAATGCAAGAACAACACACAAAAATCAGTTGGATTCCTTTACACTAATAAAGGCAGTTCTGAAAAGGGAATCAGGAAAACAATACCTTCTACAGTAGCCACCCAAAAGATGAAATACTTAGGAATAAACCTAACCAGAGAAACAAAAGACTTATACAAAAAAAAACAAAAACAAAAACAAAAAACACCACAGCTTCAAGTAAACAAGCATACATAAATGGAAGACTATATCATGCTTATAGATAGTAAGATTTACCATTGTTAAAATGCCAATATTACCCAAAGCAATCTTCAGATACAGTGCAATCCCAATCCCATTCCAACATCATTCATTAAAAGGATGGAAAAACTAATCACTAAATCTATATTGATTGGTTTATATATGGATAAACAAAGCATTACTAAAGAAGAAGAACAAAGTAAGAACACTTACCTTCTGATCTAAAAATCTACTACACAGTCATAGTAGTCAAAATAACCTGGCACCAATACAATGAAAGGCACATAGATCAATGGAACAGAATTCAGAACCCAGATGTGAACCCATCAACCTAAGGTGGGCTGATAGAAACATGTTAAATGAGCCAAAACATATTAACTGGGGAAGAGATAGTCTAACGAATGATTCTGGCAAAACTAGATATTTATTTGCAGAAGAATTAAATAAGACCCACATCTCACACAATATACGAAAACAAATTCGAGCTAGGTTAACGACCTAAATGTAGAACCTAGAACTATACAGATCAGCAGTGAAAAAAATAAGCACAAATTTAGGTGCACTGAGTTTTTAAATGGCATAAATGCACTATTAAACAGAACCAGAAACACACAAACAGCAGAAGACAAACAATGTGACTGGGACCTCCTAAGAATTAGACACATACGTGCATCAAAACATTTCACCCAAAGGGTAAAAAGAGAACCCACAGACTGGGAAAAAATTTGGGCAATGACATATCAGACAAGGGATTAATATCTAAAATCTACAGAAAATTTCAGCACCTCAACAAAAATAATCCAATTT